AGAAAATAATTTTATAATACCAAGTACCTGAGAAGTATACTTCTGTCTTAACCAAAACAGCTTTCAACAGTCATTAGCAGCAGGGTAGCATAACACCCTTGATGCACCAACTATTATCCCATTTCAAGAAACAAATCAGAAGCTAAAACAAATAATAAATGTGGAGAGAGTATCATTTTGAGACCTCTCAGAATGAAGTCTTTAAAGTCTTAAAGTAATAACACGTGGCAGTGCAGAATTTCCCCATACATCACTACCAGCTGCCTGAGGTCCCAATAAAGCCTCTGAAGAGGGGGGCAAACAAGTCTTCCCTGCCAAGACCAAAAACAGAACAAACTGGGAGGAAATGCTGCCAAACAGATCAAGAAGTTAAAAAATAAAGTCAGAGACTGATGTGGAAGTGGAGGTGAGGCATCTGTCTGACAAGGGCCATAGTATTGTTCTCAGGATGACTGGGTAAACTGAGCAGTAAGTCAGAAACATTCCTCTTTGGAGAAAAAGGGCATGGTCATTCCCCATCAGGCTATTTCTCAAGTTAATACAGGACAGGTTTTGTCTCGGCTCATACCTGATTCATTTACAATAATTACCAAAGCTATAAAGAGACACTGACACAGCACTCAAAATCGTTTTATAAGTGACCCATTTTTGGGGCAGGTCTGAAGACAAGACTGTGATATCTGCAGGTATAATTTGCTCTGCTCTGCATTAACCCCTAATGAAGGGATTCCCCAGCTCCTAACACAGGTGGCAGCAGCTCTGGGCACTGTGCAGTGCAACATGCAGTACACAGGACATTGTGTTCAACTGTTCAGGCAGCACTGCTGTACATCTGTAGGATGCAGAGCTTTAAACAACCTTCCATTCCATGAACCCCTGTCCTGACACATCTGAAAGTCTCCATGATCCTATTAAGAAAAGCAGTTCAGCATATTACCATCACTTTCCTAGATATGACCAGCTGTTTTGTATCAGAACTTATGTAGACACACTCATACAACAGCCACATCATGAATTCTGACCTTGAATGTCCTCCCAAAATAGAAAGGTATGCATATTATTCTACATAATTACTGCAGCTCCCAATTTGCTGGTCAAGATTGAGAGGACTTATGTGAAGAAACATCTGCAAGTCACCTCGAGCTTCCAAAGTATGTGCATCAGGTGGATGCTTGGCCACAGATACAATTCATTCCATTAGGAACTGTCTTACACTTAATGAGCATTCCATACTTAAAATTCAACAGCTATTAATAGGTTGGTGGAGGGAGTTACTGGACCATTCAAAACCCACCAGATTAAGAAAAAATAATGTATTTTGCTTACAAAACTACCTCAAGCACATTCTCACATACCTTCACGAAACTCATGCGGAGAGTGCACATCTTAGTAAGCTCATACACTGTCTCAAAGCCATGGTTCACTGACTGAGCCAAAAGTTGAGCAAACTCTTGATTGTTGAAAATCTTCAAACTGCAGCCACTGGGGATTTTGCAGACCGTGGTGGGATGAAACCCATGGTGGTAGTTGCAGTTCCGACTTTGCACAAAAATACTACTGTCACTAAGACATTCAGCATACACTTCCCCACCAACATAGTAGAGATGAACGCCTGGGAGGAGAAGGTTGGCATAAGGAGGTCAGACAAACTCACACTGTGCATCTCTTTTTCATGCTCTGTCTCCACAGAGACAGGTTTCTGCTTAAAGAGAGGAACATTAACTGCATATCAGAACATCACCCGTCTGTTTTCAAACTTGATTTTAACTCTTGTGTTTCATCAGCAGGAGATTTGAAAGGAGGAGATTTATGTATGCATATGTATGCATGCATGTATATATGTATGTATGTTTATGTATGGATATATAAGGGGAATCAACATGTAAATTCAACAACAAGCTAGCAAACACTGTAGTTTGATGCACTACATTGAACAGCTTGACCACTTGAACTTTTTCTCACTATACTTATGGAAAACAATAATTGGGAATGCAAGCAGGGGGAACAGAAACCTAATGCACAACTTGTAAATCCTAAAGCAGCCACAAGGTGGATTCTCTGGAAAAGTCTTGAATGCTATTTTGGACAGCATGAGCTTTGTCAGCTAGCTTTAATTCCAGAAAGCCAGGGGGGAAAAAAACCAAAATGCCATTTATATTCCTCAGATATATGTGCCAAATGAGGGTAAACACCAATGTTATACTCCTTTCCCCTTCTACTCCTGCACCCTCACCTGTCATTGAAGGCAGCAAAGCCCCACAAGAGTCACAGAGAGCCTTTGTGTCAGTAGGAGTCAAAAGGGAAAGGTTTTGAGAAAGAAAGAAAATTTACCTTCTGTGTTTAAAAATGGATTCTTTGCCATTTAAACCTTTCACCTCCCAAAATGCCACAAATCACAGAGGTGAACACACAGAATTAAAACAACTCAACTGCAGTTCAGTAAGAAAGCCTTGACTGTACTCTGCCATGGAAGATTTTGCTGCTGTGTGTGTACCTGTGTGGATACCACACTCCCACCTGATCTGCAAAAACATTTATGGCTATGTCTTAAAGCTTGGGATTTACTCCTCCTTCCTCAAAGACTAACAGCTCTGCATCATCATCACCTGTACACATTTACTTATTCAACAGCATCCTTGTCCCTTCCACATTCTGCTTCAGTACACAGGCAGTTAAGTGCTTCAGCAGAACTGTTTGCAGCTGGGTTAACTTGTAACAGGAAAATGAATGAGGTGTTAAATAAATATCCTGATACTTGGGAAGATGGATGGGGAGGAAAAGGAGGAAGAAGTACTAGCACTGGAGTGGCACAGCACAGGTGTGGTGCACTGCTGAGAGCTGTACCAGTTCTTATGTAAAGCTCTCAGACCAAGGTCTCAGACTTCAGGACCTGACAGTTCTCTTCAGCTTCAATTCTTTCCTCCTCTACAGAGGAGGAAGATACTTCATGAACTGGCACTCAGAGCATACAACTCACTGCTTAGGCATGCAGAACCCTCAACTCTCTGGGAAAATATGGAGTTTCCTAACAATGTAAATACCTAAAAAGTTTGCCTTGCAGGAATTGCCCCATTGCAGGGAGCAGTGCAAGTGTTGCCTGTCGTTTGCATTATGGGTGAGTTCTCAGGAAGGAAAACTGTATTAGTCAGGCATAAACCAGAAGCTTTTCTCTTTTGCAAGACACTGTCACACTCATAGAAGGGAAGCACAAAATTCCCACTGAAAGAGTCATCAGACTGTAAAAAATGCATTTGGAATAAATTGTTTTACCAGGTTCCTTCTCAAAATGCATGTTAGGATAGCTAATTTATGCTGGAACTAAGGCTAGCTAAACCATCTGGTGCCAGGAACCACAATCTGGATTTCCATATACACCAATAATCAAGATAAATCAAGGCATTTCATTAGACAAACTGCCTTAACCTCTCATTCTAATTAAGATTTTGATAGCCTTTGGGCAATTAAAAATTGATTAAGGGTAAAAGCTTCCTGTAATTATACACCAGGTAAGAACAATACTTTGTTAATATGACTAGGCTAGAAAATTATATGTTTACCAACACAAGCACTTATCCCACATACCAGGGAGACCAGCTTGCTCTTGAGGCAAGTGGCCCAGGTTGTCATAGAATCATAGAATCAACCTGGTTGGAAGAGACCTCAAAGACCATCGAGTCATGTCAGGGGCAAGGCCACCCCACTCCAAAAGGGATGCAAAGCCCCCAAACTCACCCTTGCCAATGTGCCTCCTGGTGTTCTCAATGGTGGAGTTGCGGTTCACGTTGGAGAGCAGCCCCAGGCAGAATCTGTTCTTGTTGTTGGAGGGATCAGTGAAGCCATCCACCAGGATGCTGGTGGAAGAAGCATGGAATGCCTCCCCAACACGATTATTCAGCTCGTAGTAGACAATGGAGCACCAATGCTTCGGCTCTTCATAAGCAACTGCCTGAACATCTGGAAAGCAACAATGGAAACAAAAGAAATGATGATTCTTCCCCTCAGCTCTGCTCTCATAAGACCCACCTGGAATACTGTGTGCAGTTCTGGTGTCCTCAACACAAGAAGGACATGGAACTGTTGGAGCAAGTCCAGAGGAGGCCACAAAGTTGCTAAGAGCACTGGAGCATCTCCCCTGTGAGGACAGGCTGAGGGAGTTGGGGCTGTTCAGCCTGGAGAAGAGAAGGTTGTGTGGAGACCTCAGAGCAACTTTTCAGTATCTGAAGGGCCTACAAGGAGCCAGAGAGGGACTCTGTGTTAGGAACTGCAATGATAGGACAAGGAGTAATGGATTCAAACTGAAGGAGGGGAAGTTTAGGTTAGATATTAGAAGAAAGTTTTTTACTCTAAGGCTGGTAAAACACTAGCACAGGTTGCCCAGGGACGTAGTGGCTGCCCCGACCCTGGTGGCCAGGCTGGGTGAACAACCTGATCTCGTGAGGAGGTGTCCCTGCCCAGGGCAGGGGATTGGGACTAGATGATCTGTAAGATCCATTCCAACCCCTAAATTCTATGATTCTATGATGATTCTAACAGTTAACCCCCTGAGCTGAAGAGCAGATGGAATGGAGGGACATATTATTTAATGAGGACCTTTTATTGCTACCAAATGCAAATTCTCCAAATGTTCATCACCAAAAGAACTACTTGTTGAGTAATAGCAAGGATTTCTCAGAATGTGTTTTTCCAGGCACTGGAAACAAGAAGTTCCTCCTCAGCAGCTCCTGACTGAAGCTGGGAATTGCGCAGAAAGCCAACAGGAAATTCCTGGTTCACTTCTACCCATCAAGCTCTAGAAACACATGGAAGTCTTGAAGTAACACTTGTGACTGGGGAACAAATTCTCCAGATGACTCCAAAGGTATTTACCAAAAAGTTTCCCAGAGGGTGTCCAACAACAGCAGAGGCTTCTTCAGATATCTCCACCCAGTGCACGTTCTTTAAAGTGCCACAGCTACAAATGACCAAACTGAGGCTAGAGAAGGGATGTGGTTGCTTTATGTGGCTTCTTTTAAATGAAGGACACTATTTTCACTGTTAAGCCTAGCAAAATGGGACTTGCTGCTAAGATGGCAACTACAGGTGAAAGTGCTGGAATGAAAATCAGACTGGTACGATGGGAAAACTTCTTTCTCTGGCCAGAGGTTTCCTTCTCCCAGCTCCAAGTTTTTGGTGAACTCAGCCAACTACGATTAGTGTTCATATTTTCCTCAGATCACACCGCTCTGAGTTTCTGTTACATGCAAAATAAAAACCAAAAAGTATCCCCCAAACCAGCAGTACATATTAAATACAAGAGAGAGCAAATAATCAACAGCAGGATAGCACATCCTACATCACTGCCCAAAACGTCTGAGTATAGCATTTACTGCTAATAACTCGTTTAAAACACTGGTAAAAAGCTGATCTCTCCTGATACTTTGGCACTTTCTATCCCTTCACATCACTGTAAAAAAGAAAAAATTTGAAACAAAAAAGAAAAGAAAAAGAATAAACATCAGTCATTAATTATTACTAAGAGGTTACTCCACTTTTAATTCCCACAAAGATGCCAGCAATTATCAAAGCTGCAGCTTTGCCCCAGTTCTCAAAAGTCAGGAAGAAATCCTGCCAGCTGGCCATTCTTACAGAATTAATCATATCTCTCTCACACAGATTTCATACTAACTTCCTTACATTTGCTTTAAGTCATGCAGAGCAGGTGCGTTTAGTCTCTCTATTCCCAGCATGGGCCAACAATGGAAATTACCCAACTTCATTGACAGGATGCAGCTTGTTAAATCAAATCTCTTAAGACTAACAAATCACCATGAAGAACACTCTTCTAAAAGGTTTGCAACAAAAAACGGTGCAGTGAGTTCACAGTAAAAACTCTTTCTTTTACAACCTGCAGCAGATTTTTTTGTCAAGTAACACAATCACAGCTTGCATCTATGAATAATAAACACATGAAGACACACAGAAGGTTGGGATTTTTAATGAAGGGACAAGAAAGAGATGAAAATCTATTGTACTAAACTACTAGGAAGGAAAAATATTAACAGACACAGTTTGTATTCATAGAATCATAGAACTTTAGGGGTTGGAACAGACCTTAGAGATCATCCAGTCCCAACCCCCTGCCCTGGGCAGGGACACCTCCCACCAGAGCAGGTTGCTCAAGGCTCATCCAACCTGGCTGTGAACACTGCCAGGGTTGAGGCATCTCCTACCTCCCTGGCAACTCATTCCAGTGTCAGTTTTTTGTGTTTTGAAATGGTTGAAAATTAAAAAGTAAGAAGAAAAATGTAAGCCCTTCTCTTTCTATCAACTCTCATGTAATAGAGAAATTCTATAGTACTCGTGCATTTTGGGACAGGGAGACACATGCAAAGTTCTGCAGTTTGGCATAAAGATTGATAAATTTATTTTGAGCCAGGAAATTCCTAGCCTAAAATTCCTGAAAACTATCCATACACAGTGTACTGGATCAGCAAAAAAAAAAAAAAAGAAAAAAGCTACAGATGGGGTTTATCACATGCAAAACTCATTCCACACAGAGAGTAAACAGGCTAACACAGAAGCTAGCCAAGTTATTCTAAGAGGGCAAATATACTTCCTGCAACCAGACATGAAGCTTAGCAACAAAACAAGTACCAAAGAAAACCCCCCAAAAACCCAAACCCTGTAAAATCCAAAACACAACAGTTAAATTGTTCGTTTGCTTGTGATCTTGATAATGGTTCTGGCATAGCCTCCAGCTTGCTGCTCTTTCTTGGCATGGGCCACAACTGTGTGAGCTTATGTGTTCTCTGAAGGGCCCATGTCTCACAGTGTGATGAATCCTTCACTCAGCAGTCATGGCTGGCTGCAAAGGCTTTAAAAAGCAATGTGTAAAAAGATATCTCTATCACAGGACATAAAGCAATAGGGTTGTTGGTTTTTTTTAAATAGAGATTTATAAAGTCTGTGCCGATGCCACACCTCAAGCAGACAGCTCTGTATTCTGAACCAAGTGTTATCACTGTGTGACTCAAAGATGGAACAAAAATGGGAAGAGAGGGTGGAACAACACACAATACAAAAAAATCCTCAAAGTGCCCTTATAACCAGGAGAAGGGAAACATCAATTCTCTGATCAAGTCTTTGCTTGGAGCCCTAGGCTTGACTATATCTACTACTGCCCACAATTCAATAGACTTCATACAGCATTAACTGCACTGATTATAAATCAGTGTAATCATAAGAGATAAAGAAATTCTTTCCCTTGTACACATGACATTTCAGTATCACATGCAGAAATGTGCAGCACCATGGGAGCTCTTTCTGTCCAGAGACTAGTGGAAATTCCCAAGAAAAAACATAAAATTACTTTGGTTGTTGACTTGATTGGGAATAAGAAAGTAATAAACCCCATACATTTTACACTTTTTAAAGAGCCATGGGATAGCTTCCTGTCTTAAAAAGCATTTATAAGTAATCTCCAGCTTTACTATTTCATCCCTTACAACAACAGAAAAAAAACCTACATGGCTGGTTTTTTCCATTTTCTAGAGATAAAAATTTCCATCGACAACATCTATCCAAAATTGAAGCTCAGTTATTAATAGCAAGTTCTGAAGGTTCCTTACTGTTGTGAAGTGAAGCAGAAAAGAAGAAGGAAGTGGATTTACCTCCTCTGTGTATGTCAGGGGGAATTGCAGGTGCCATCATGTTGGTATCCATTGGCTGGGAGGTATCGTGTGTCATCTGCTCTTCCGGAGGCAGGTAAGCAGGAGGGGGAGTATCAGCTAAATATAGAAAAGGCAGAGAGAGATGAGTCCTTTCCTCTCTTTAAAGTATATCTACAAATTCACGTAAACAGTTTTAGCCTGGAAATGCTTCCAGCCTGACTCAGCTATAAACTTCCACCCACCAGAAATCTGAAAAAGCAATCATGGACCTTGAATCGGGAAAGCAAAGAATTACTGTGCATATCAAGCACAACTGCAATAAGAACAAGTCACTTCAGAAAGCTCAGCTGTGTTTCCAGCCCATATTTTTGCAGGTTTAAAGTACCATGCAGATGTTGAGGCACAAAGAGGTCTCAGGGCCCAGCCAGAAGTAGATATGGTAAATGTGCCCAGAAGTTGGAGCAGAACGCTTTCAGTTCAAGCTTTTCTGTTTCCAACACAATTCTACCAGCCAAGAATCCCAGATATATCCAGGACTTTATCATTGTCAGCGGAGTATTAGCTCTGTTTCCCTAGAATGGGAAGACAGAAAGCATTCAGGAACCCAAATCCTACAGAAGTAGCTGTCTGGGTCCGGAGTTTACCTGTCAGTGTCTCTGTACTGTCCCATTCAGTATCAAATCACTAGCACAAACCTCACCCATGCACAATGACTGTGCTGACTAACATATTGTTTTCAACCCTGTTTGAAGCATCACCACTGCCCTTCAGCTGCCATTCCACTTCTGAGAAAGCTTCCCAGGTTTCTTAGAAGCTGCAGGAAGTTGTCAATGTCACCATTTCCCAATACACAGAGGACATTCTCCTCCAAATCAATTGCACAGAGGTACATGCACGACAGAGAAACCCTTCCCTGATCCATGCAAGGTCTCACTGCAGGAGCTGAGATTAGATTACCACTGTGCTATCTCTGGTGAGCAGAGCTGCTGCTCATCCCACATTTACTTCCATTACTGACAGTATGGATTGCAAACTACTGCAGCAAATTATCATGGGAGACTCCAAAACTCTGAAAATTGAATAAAGCATCAACACAGGAGGCAGGAGAATGCTTTGCAAGCCTTGGGTTTTTTGGGGAGTGGTGGTTTTGTTTGGGGTTTTTTAAAATGCAGTTTTTAAGAAAACACACATTCAGGAAATCTATTAACTGCTCAGTGTTTAGAAGGTATTTTGTGGGAGCTTTACATCCAATGCTGGCAGGTACCTTGCTAACTCCCTTACTTGAATACCCTTGAGAGAAAGGGATGACAACAGGGCTACAATAAGAGCTTAGCAGACTGCATTGGATTTTGAGCCTTAAATGTTTGTGTGCAAACGTGATGTTAGTGATGCACAAGAGTCTTGGGGCACAGGCAACAAATTAGCTGATATCTAGCAAAGTTTTCAAGCTCTCTGGATAACTGCTTTGCTCCTTTTTTTTGTATCCTCCAAAAGTCAGCCTCTTGCCCCTTAGTGCAAGATGGACAACTGTCCAGAGCTAAGCATCAAGGAATCACTATCTTGACCTCTCCTCTCATTCAATTCCTCCACTGCAGCTGCTGACTTTATGGGCATGTGGGCAGAACAGACCCTCAAGATCAAGTGAACTTCCACAAACCAACACTCAGGAAGATGTGTTAGATCTTTATCTCTGCTGGAAGAGCCCCAACCACATCCATTCTATCACCAAAAAAAAAGGACAGCTGGTTTCGTGGCAACTTCTCACACTTCTTAGAAAAGCCAATACAAACTCTCCTTCCTTCCTTCCTTCCTCTGCAAATTCAGTAGCCTTCACTCACAAGAGAGAAATTTAAAAGAAGAGCAACTATCAACAGCAGAAATCTATGGATGCTAATTTCATGTAATAGGAAAGAGATTGTCACAAGTTTGCAGCTTTGTAAACTCATGCCCTCGCTCAGCCCCTGAAGAAAACAGGCAAACAGCATCAGTTAGCATTTGTACTGAGTCCTTCTCCCAGCATTCAGATCAAGAAATCTGCCACAGACTGCTTCTGCAGTATTTTGATCCATCCGCATGTAAAGACCAAAAAAAAAAAAAGACAAGTTTCACAGAATTTTCTACAGACACCAGTCAAGAAAGAAAAGTTGCTACTCCTCCAACTTTAGGTAGTAAAACAGATTTCTTTTAAGAGCCTGGTTTTGAGTTGGAGTATTTTTGCTTCTTGAAATTACATCACTGTGTGAAGAAATTTTATCAAGTACCAATAATGTGATCACCTTGAGAAATGTCCTTTTTTTGCAGAACTTGTGCTGAATTTATGATGATTTCTTTCTTAAGCAAGGCTGATCTCTAGCATGACACTGCTGGTGCAGTAAACACTATGCCTTGTGAGATAAACTGCTGAACTGGTCCCCAAAACATTCTGAATCCCTCCACCCCACAAGAGTTTTCCTGTAATGTTTTAACTGTGTTCAAAAGAGGCACAATCTTAAAACCTTCCATATTATTCCTAAGCAAAGCTATTTATAGTCTTTATTACCTTACATCTCTCAGCTTTCTATTGAACACAAAGTGTTGGCTGATAATTTGGTATTATTAAACAAAAATATCATCCCAGTGATGTTCAACCACCTTGTCCCTTCTGAAGGGGAACCCAAGTTGACTGTACCTGGCATCTGGAAAGGACTCCCAGGGTCCGAGCTGGCTGGAGAATGTGGATAGGTGCTACTGCTGCTTCCAGGAGAGTTGGGATAGCTGCTGCTGGGCGAGTGGGGGAATGGGTGACTATTGGGCTGCTGAAAAGAGTCCGGGAAGGTAGCGTTGTGTGGCATGTGGGGCTCGTTCTGTCCCAGGTTGCGGAACTGGGCCAAGAGGCTGTGCTGGGGGTTGTACTCGCTGTGCCTTGGAACCAGGACTGGAGGAAGGACTGGAAAGACAGAAAAGACACAGTGTCAGAGACTCAGTGCTGAAGAACTATACAGGCTATACAGGGAATGAACTCACGTTCTTCCTCCCCTGTGGCATATTCACATCTGTCTTAAAAACATAGTCAAACCCAGGAGCACATGTCTAAGCAAGAACTGCTTTCCTTACATAGCTTGAATTCATAGCTATGCTAGCTCCCTGGTGTGCCAGGTGGGAGCTTGTTTCCACAGAGGGCCAGTGAAGAAGAGGCAGGACCAAACCACAATCTGCATTTCAGCTGTATTCACACCAAGAAGTGCTGGGCAGTGAGTGCCTTACAGTGCAGCTCGTTCCGTGCACTTGTGATCCTGCTAACCACGTCATGGCCTGTAACCCAAACCCTTGTTAATAAGAACAGATTTATTTTATTTTTTTTCTGAAGACAATACTAATAGGCCTTGAACTTGGCCTGGTCCCTACAGCTGTAATTTTATTTTTAACCTGGCCTATGTTCTTACAAGTTACTATTAAAACAATTATTAACTCTTCGAGTCAGTTTACAAAATGTACAATTTAAAATTATGGAGTTCAAAAAAACCAACTGAGCAGCAATTGAGCTACAACTATATGCTACTATGGGATCACAGAAACATCAGACACTACTAGTCTCACCACACTCCTAAAGCCTTCTCACCAACAGGGAAACAAAGGTCTCTTTTAAACAGGGAATATGAACATGATACCAGATACACTAAGATAAAAGAATCAGCTCTTTTTCCAGTGCCTCAGCTTCTCTCTTTGAATGCCTCACAGCAAAATCCAAGCTACCTGAAAGATTAAAAGCTAGTTTTTTTATAGATTTTTGGGTGATGGGGAGAAGAGGATAGGCAAGGGCTGGGAGAGGGATATCTGTGCACATAAAATGAAGCTATTCCTCTTCACATCTTCCACCTTCAGCACCTCTGTGGCTAAGCAGGACTGGAAGAAACCCCTCCTGGATGTCCTGCCTTCACAGGAGGGTGAAAAAATCCAACAGAAAACAGGGAAAGCAAGCCAAGGCTACCATCCCCTCTCCCCAAGACTCCTGCTCTGGCCCAAACACCTGGGCACACGTGTTTAGATGTTAACATTTTAACCAACTGCACTTCACCAGGAATAGACAAAGTTCCTAATTACAGCATCTCCTGAAACAAAACACATCTGTCTGTCATTCCATGGAAGTTCCCAGTTGCAAAGCACCCCAGGAGAAGCTGCATCTCCCTCAGCTGTGCAGACTGTTTCCTGCCTCCAACACAACCTTTCTCACATGCCAATGGAAAAGGCCATTAAAAACAAATTCAGGTGGACATCACAAATCCCCTCAATCACAACATGTCAAGGCTAAGCTCTCTGAATATCAGGATCTCTCAGAATTAAGCTTGTTCTGTTAAACCAAGCAGTCCTTTTGCAGCTAGGTCAAGCAATATTTCATTGTCATAGTCAACATTTGCTGGGCTAATAAATTACCAATGAAAAAAATAACAATGAGATCATGTGTTAAAATGTATTTTCCCTTTCCTGTCTTTATGATTCTTCCTTACTTTTCCAAGCATTAAAAACACAGCTTTCCTATCTCTTCACTTCCTACGGATGAAGGTCAAACCATTAACTTTTCTGAAGTTAATTTGTGCAGAAAGTCCATCACTTACCTTTCCCATCCCCTACCTCACACCAAACAATGACACACATGACATCAGAGGAAGCCACACGATTTACAGCATTTTAAAATAGCAGGAGAGCAGGATATTTTCTGTATGTTTTCTGTAATTAAAATCATGCAGTGCCAGATTTTCCCAAGGTAAATATGCATGTTTTCTCCTGTTGGGCAGAACCACTGGAGAAGTTTTGAAGGAGCTGAAATAAAAACAAGCCTCCTCTTCCCAGGTCTCCTTCATGTAAACCAATGCTTTTTGTCCAACTGCTTCAATCTCATGTGATTAAATGCCAATGTCTTTGAAGGATATATGGAAAAGGAAGAAAAAGCATACAACTGGCATGGATACAGCACAAACAGTTCTCAAAATATCACTGCAGAATTTACTATGAGTGCTGCCCCTGACTCACATCCTCCCTGCACACACACAACCTTAAACAGGGGACAAAGCCCTGAAAGGCCACATCAGGTGGGAGAGAGACTACAGCACTCCAATTAGTCCAACTCAAAGGCAGTCACTCATTGCCATAACCTGATCTCTCTGCAGCTCAAGGGCTTTTTTTTTGCAGGGAAGCTGCTCCTGCTGGAGTCACAGAGGAGTTAATGAGTGCTGCTCACTCAGGAGTGAAGACATGAGCAGGGACTGGGCCCTTCCAAGGATGGAAAGCTGCCAGGAGTTCAAACCACGAGGGGGGATGCAATACCCTTCTTGCTCCCCTTGCCCCTGTGTAAGGTGCTGAGCTCCTGGTCAGGTTGCAGCCCTCAACCATATGGAATAACAAATTACTGAGGCTCAGTGCAGCAGGGGAGGAGGCTGATCTCTGCTGCAGCTGCCAGCTCCAGGAAGAGGTCTAATTGAAGGGGAGAAAGCATGAGAGAGTTACTCAGTGCTAAGCCAGCACACCTGTTGCTATAAAATAATGAAGCAGTGCACATCTTTGCTGTGCAGATCTGCAGGATGCAGCTCTGACCATTTGCAGACAGATCTCTCCCTTCCTCTTTACCCTCTTCAGCAGAAGGGAACGCAGAGACAAGAAACAATCAACAGATTTATTTCTAGATTATCATCAGTAGGGATGCATATAGCTAAAGGAAACACTACTGAATGCACTGTTGCCTTAAAAAGCTGCTGCAACAGCTTTGCAAACTCAACCTCATTAAAATTAATGGCGTAGAACCACAAGTCATCCAGCAGCTTGATTTCTGTAATTCTTCAAACATCAGATTCAAAGGTTTTATGTGTTATACCATGGTTAGGTTTTGCTCTTGATTTTTTTCTGTCGCTGTGGACCTGGAGTTGAGAGTTAATCCATGATTACTAGCAGTAACTTTAGGAGTGCTGAGGAGGAAGATAAACCACCTGGAAACCAGGCTGGGCAAGATTGTGGAACTGTGGCTAAGAGGAGATCCTGTGTCTGTCAAAACAGCCTGGGAATTGGGTAGCTTGTTTTTAGCATGCAAATAACATCAAGTATGCCTGCACCAAACAAGCAGAGCTGTATTAAAGAAATTACAGCCACAGGGCAATTTCACCCACAGGGCTATTTCATCTGAGAGCCAAGAATGCCAAAAATACAGAAGATAGACCAAAGACAACCTGGCTGTTCAGATAAATGTTCTGACTAACCACACCAAGGAAGAAATGCTTTTATGAAAATGTAATGGTGGCCTTTGAAGAAAGTTACTGATCTCTACTCTTTTTATCTCCAGCTTGTCACCCTGTTCTTCAGAAAACTACAGATGTGCAGTCCAAAAGTGAAGATTTTCCTGGTTTTCTTTTTTGTTCTATTTTCACATTCCAGAGATAATAGTTTTAGCAAACACAGAAGTCTTCAATTTATGAATGTAACTTCTTTTTAAAATGTTTCTTTAGGAAAAACCCCAAACTCATCCAACCCAAAGGACCTGCTGTACTTTCAAAGTAGCATATTTTCTATCCAGATAGGTTTTTCAATTATCTCACACAAGCCCAGATGAAAGCTAGTTTCCCTCAAGGGCTCATTTTTTCCACGCTCTTTGCATGTAATGTGAGGATTTGGGTCGGTATCTGTGTTTCCATGTATGGAAATTGAAAGACCAAGCAATTAAATACAAGGGGCCACATATAAGAAAGCAGACCTTGATCATCCTTCCTTGCTAAGGTAGATTCTGCTTTTTTTTTTAAAGATTTTATTTATAAAAGTAAAAAAAATTACAGAAAAACATAAGCAATTGCTCCTGCACTTTTTGCTCTTAAAAATCATGATGACTTAGTTGACATATGTTCTACAGAAAGGTTTGTGCCCCAACAGAACCCTTGGTGCTGATGAAGACCTGACAGCACTATCACTAGACACTGCACTTTAATTTCCAAGCATTATACAGCTGCATTTTCATATGAATTGATGCAAAGCCACGTATGTCTTGCTAGAAAAGCAGAACTGCAGGGTGGGAAGGAGGGAAATCCTCACACCCCAGTTCATGTGCTCTGAACATGGATATATGAAAATGCAATCAGGGAGGAACTTGTGGCATGTCCTCCGTGCTCTAGAAAGAAAATCCTGCAAAGATCAACTTGTAAGAAAAATGAAGAGTTAGGAGAAGGAAAACACCAAAAGAACCCCACAGCAGCACTGTTAAACCAACAAATTTCAAGCCTCCTGAAGAATCCTCACTTCATTTGCTGCCTTCGAGGCCACAGCAGCTGAGGCTGATGAGCTCTCCAGTCCCACAGTGGGAACAGAGCAGGTACCAACATATGCTCAGCTTGAAGGTGCTTAGCTTTGCTCTCTGGCTGTGGCACTAGAGAGTCACTGAAGGATTCTGACTGCAAGGTCCTGCAGTCACTTTTAAACTATAAAACACTATTAAACTATATAAAAGTCCTCACTTTTAAACTATAAAACACCATGTAGAAAGACAAGTTCTAATGTCACTAGATTTTCTCATGTTGCCTAATACAAGACTTGGCAAACCTGAACTTTCTTTGACCAGAGGACAAGTTCTCACATACAAAGACACATGTCTACACTTAGGCTGGAGCTTATTCTTGGTTAAAAATAAATAAGCATTGTGTCAAAAGCCATCTCTGTGGATCAAAGTACTCTATGCTGTTCTGGTAACACCTTGGCTGTGGTATCATGGCTTTGCTTTGCTGTTTTCCCAAAAGCAGAAATTCCAGGATTTTAGACTTTTGCTCCAAACCTCTCTTTTAGTAACTGCAAGAGAAAAGGCTTAATACTAGCAATTCAGCAACCTGTTCTGGCAGACAGATGGGCAAACATGCCAAAGTTTCTATTCCAGGAGAAAGCTGAGAGATGTCATGTTTTCTCAACTGATAATTTCATTGT